GGGAGAGACGGGGGAGGGAGGGGATGGGGGGGGAGGGAGGAGGGGAGGGCCGGGGAGGGCGGGGAGGGCCGGGGGGAGGCAGGGAGGGCCGGGGGGGCAGGGGGAGCGCGGGAGGGAGCGGGAGGGAGGGGGGCCGGGCGGCAGGCGGGGGAGGGTGCGAGCGGGGGGGGCGAGGGGGAGGGGGGCGGGGGAGGGAGGGAGGGAGGGAGGGAGGGAGGGAGGGGGGGGAGGGGAGGGAGGGAGGGGAGGGGGGGCGAGGGGAGGGGGCGGGGGGGGAGGGAGGGAGGGGGTAAAGGTGGAGTGCTGCCGAGCGCGGATGGGGAGAAGTCAGACGAGACGGATGACGAAGGCCAGGCGGACTGAGGGAAGGGGGGCGGCCGAGCAGGATCACGGTTGAGAGGAGCAGCGACCTAGTGAGCATGTTGGATATGCGGTAATATCGAGTAACAGCATTGTATTCAGCATGCTTAGGCTGTGTTGAGAGGCCGTAGCTCTTTCTGAGCTTCCCTGGGTAAAGCGGATGGCGAATACGCTAATGCAGTTTCGTGTGCGCGTCTATCCGCCTTCGTTTCTCGTCCTCCCTGCATCGGCGGGAAAGGGCTACGTACCAGGGTGGACGGTGGGTGTTTTTTCCTGATCCGGCAACGGAATACGTCTCCGAACAACTATTCAGAGTTTGTCGCGCGCATGCTTCTGTCTCCCCTTGGGCTTCTGCCTTAATTCTGAGTCCTCACAGAGGTCTTCATATGGTCGCATACCCTTCATCGGCTAGTTCCGCCAAGGGCCTCGTCGTTGACGAATTGAGGTGGATGACCTCTGGCTCTCGGCGGAGGCCAGTGGAATGTCCGCGGAAGCGTGAGTTGGTACAACGAGGGCGGCTTCGCTGGTTGAAGCTGGTCCTTGTTCGCCGTTTAGGAGACGGGGAGGTCTGAGCAGCAAGCGCGTCGGCGCCCCAGGCTTTCAGAGAGGAGGCAGGGTAGACGTTCGGAAGAACACAGGGCAAAGCTGGCCTGCCCTGGAGACAGCACGTGGGCTCTGGCCAAAGCATTGTCCGACTCCTGCCGTCACTGGCGCTGCCGTGGTCGGCGTTCCGGGAGCGCGCGCGGATTTCGCGGGACACCAGGAGGTACCGAACCGCTGCTCCCTGGACCTCTCACTGGGGTGCGTTCCGACCAGAACTTCGGGGCGAATCCAGGTGTGGTGACGAGGGCCCCCCAGGAGGCCCCAAAAGATGGAAAACAGGGAAAATACGGAACAGGCCTCGGTCAAATTTAGCGAACATTCGTGTCACATTCATCTGCCAATGCTCTCCCCCCTCCCCCTATGATCAAAGTTGGTTGTGGCTCTGAGGCATTGCACTTTGAACGCAGTCTTCCCCCCCGCTCGCGCCATCTTTGAATTCTGGGGGAGGGGAAGCGTGCCTTGCCCCTGAAGGAACGCCACAAATCAACCTGACTGTTGCGTCTTGACGATCCTGAGTCGTGCCAAAACCGCATCTCCTGGGACTACAACACCGCGAATCAACGTGACTGTTGCGCCCTGACAATCTCGAGTCGTTCCAAAAACACAGTTTGGTATGCTAACCATGGCAGTCAGTGAAACTCTTGCGAACTTTTAAAACGAGTGTACGCGGCGCTAAGGCGAGAGCCACATTCTGAAAAGGAGCCGCCCTCACTTCGTGAAGCTCTTGCAAATTTTGAAAGCGAATGTGCGCGGCGCTAAGACGAGAGACAACTTTTGAAAATGAACCTCCTTCAGTCCGTGAAGCTCTCCTAACGTTTTAGAACACATGTGCGCGGCGCTAAGGCGAGAGCCACATGTTGAAAAAGAACCGCCCTCAAAACCGTGAAGGCCTTGTATGTTTTGTACGACGAATGTGCGCGGCGCTGAGGCGAGAGCCACATAATGAAAACGACCCGCCCTCAATCCGTAAAACTCTTGCAAAATTTCTAAGACGAAGGTGCGCGGCGTTAAGGCGAGAATCACATCTTGAAACCGACCCGTCCTTAATCCGTGAAGCTTGCAAATGTTGTAAGGCGAATGTGCGCGGCGCCAAGGCGAGCGTCACATTTTGAAAACAACCCGCCGTCAATCCGTGAAGCTCCTCCAGTTTTTTACAACGAATGAGCGCGGTGTCAAGGCGAGAGCCACATTTTGAAAGCAGCCTGTAATCAAGCAGTGCAACTTTTGCAAACTTTCGAATGTACTTGGCGCTCAGGCGAGAGCCACATTTTAGAAGCTGCCCGCCCTCCATCTCTGAAGCTGTTGCCAGTTTTTAGCTTGAGGCTAATCAGAGGTAAGGAAGTCTCAGGCGAAAGGCTTGGCCCGCCCTTCCGACTGGCCTCAGGGTGCGGCAGGGAGGAAAAAGAAAAGGAGTGGAGCAGCAGGAGGAGGAGGAGAAAGAGGAGAAGGAACAGGAGCAAGAGCAGAAGGAGGACAGAAGTAGCAGGGAGGGAGGAGGAGGGCGGCCGAGAATGGCGCCGCCCCCATCCGCTCTGGCGCCCTGCTCTGCCCGATCCGCCCGCCCCCTGGCCTTCCGCTGAGGGGAGCACCCGTTCGGCGACCGCAAGGAGCCGCGCGCGATCTGCGAGAACATTCAGCGAGGAGACGCCGTCAACCTCGGGATCCTGGCTGCCAGATGGGAGAGAAAGGAGACGCCTGCCAGCGAGGAGAGGCCGATGCCGATGTCGATGCCCTTCCCTCGCCCGAAATAGGTCCTGGGAGCAGCGGTATGAGTATCTGCGGCGGCGCGCAAGGGTGGCTCTGAGCCAGATCGGGCGACGAACTCTGTACATACCCGCTGCTCCCTGGCCAGGCCCATCATGAACCCATGAGGCTGTGCATACGCCCTCCTGGCTTGGCCAGGAGGGCGTGGCTTATGCACCACTGCTGGGTTCAGGATGGGCCCGGCCAGGGAGCATCGGATATGTACAGAGTTCGTCGCCCTACCAGAGCGGCCTTTGGTGCGGGCCGCCGCATGGCCCCCCCAGCACGTGGCCTGCGCGCTCGGATTCGCCTCCCCCCTCCTCCTCCTCCTCCTCCTCCTCCTCCCCTCCTCCTCCTCCTCCTCATCCTCCTCCTCCTCTCCTCCTCCTCCTCCTCCTCCTCCTCCTCCTCCTCCTCCTCCTCCCCCCCTCCGCGGCCCGCCGAAAGCCGAGCACCAGGAGGCCATTCCCGCCCGGGGCCGTTTTTGCGTGCAGCCGGTGCCCTGACGTTCTCCGGTATGTTCTTTTCAACCCGCGGCCCCCTCAGAGCTCCTGGCCCCCTTTGTCCCAGGGATAGTTTTCCGTCGCAGATCCGGGTTCGGTGGTCGGACAATGGGCCGGACAGTGGGCCCCAGAGGCCGAAATCGAGGAACATGAAGCTGGAGGGAGAACAGAAAGATGTGTCGTTGGACATGCGGGTGCCATCTTTCGGTGTTCGATCATGGGCCCCTTGTCAAATGCAACCGTCCAGCTTTCGCACCAAAAACCGCCAGAAGCCGCCGAAGACGGCCAAAGACCGCCAAAGATCGACGAAGACCGCCAGAGACCGTCCGAAGACCACCAGAGACCACCGAGGACCGTCAGCAGACCGCCGAAGACCGCCGAAGACCGCCAGACGACCGCCAGAAGACCGCCGAAGACCGCCCGTGGCCGATGGGTAGCACGGGGTCCACAGCCGAACACGCGGCCTTCTTTCGGCGGCACTCCAACATACTGATACCATGTGTGCGTCGCCCCCCCTGGGGCGACGCGCGCGCCGAGAAATCTTACAGTATATGCGTCGTGGCGAGCGCCTTCTGGCCGCACAGCTCGGGAAACGATCTGCCACAAGATGGGTGTACTATATGTCGGAGGAAGAGAACTATGCACATGCACTGATCCTGGCAAGGCCCTCCTTGACCCAGGATCGGTGCATATGCCTTCCTGGCCAAGGTAGGAGGGCGTATGCACCGATCCTGGGCTCAGGATGGGCCTGGCCAGAATCGGTGCATGTGCATAGTTCTCTTCCCTCTAATATGTTCGGGTCGGACGCACGCCTCCGAGGAGTCCACGGGCGAACACTTTTCTACGCCGGCGGCGGGGCAAAAGTGCTGCTCCAGCGGGCGGCGATCGGGGCGACCGATGCGCGACTTGGCCGGCGTGCAAGCGGGGGGAAACCGGACAGCCAGGGCGGCCGCGAAGGGCGGGAACGCGAGGGCCAAAACAGAACGCAGGCTCCTCGAGACTTCGGGGAGGGAGATTCTGGGGCCCAGGGTTTTACCAGGGTGGCAACGACGAGCGCAAAACACACCCCGAAATCTGTGGCCGATCTTCGAGTCCTCGGCGAATCCGCGATTTTGGGGTTGGGGATGTGTTCTCTCTTGGTCGCACGCAGCCTCCTTGACCTCCCAGGCTGGCCCCCTGCCCCTCTTCGCGGACCTCGTCGCGCGGCTGATCGCCGACGCGCCAGAGCGCCGCTGGTCGGCAGAACAGGCCCTCAGTATCGGTCAACCCGTCCCCATCCCCACGCAGGCCATGGCATCTCTCAGAGGAGGAAAGAAGAATAATAAGAATAATGATAAGAATAATAATACTAATACTAGTAATTATAAGAATAAGAAGAAGGGTACCCATACCGCTACCCTTCGGCCGTTTCCCCCTTTTTTTTGGCCTCCTCGGAGGCCCCAGTCGCCACCGCTGGATTCGCCTCGAAATTCGGGTTAGAACGCACCCCGGGAGAGGTCCATGGAGTGGCGGTATCGGCACGTTTTGGTTTCCCCAATCTCAGTCCCACCACCTCACCATTCCAGTTGGGGACAGTTCTCGAGAGGGGAACGTTATGGGACCCTCCTGTCTCGCAATTTGCGCATCCTCATCATCATCGTCATCATCTTCATCATCAGCATCATCATTATCGTCAGCATCATAAGAATCATCACCATCCTCATTGACATCGTCATGACCATCAACATTATCATCATCATTATCAACATCATCGTCATCACCTGCATCATGATCATCATTATCATCACCATCATCGTTATCAACATCATCATCGTCTGCATCATAATCAGCATTATCATTATCACCATCGTGATCCAATGACCCTTCGTTTGTGCGATTGCAACCAGCGCTTTGTTGTTATACTAGCATTGATAATCCCTGGTATGGCAATTCACCCTTTGATTATTCACGCACTTTTTTGTATCCTTCTCATCGTTCTCCCAGCTCTTCTGCATTCCTCTCATGGAAACGCCCCACACTTAGAATCATTTTTGCAAAAGGATTCCTTTTGCGGCGGCTTTACAAAAGGGTTTTAATTGTGGGGGGATCTGCTGTGGCGGCACCTTGAGCCCAGGAAAGATAGAAAGGAAAACAGGACAAACAGGAACACCATGAAACAGCTTGTCCTTTTTTCACATGGCGAAATAAGACAAAGCTAGGAAGACCTGTGGCTGTCGGTATTTTTATGGCGCAGACGTTGCAGACGGAAAACCTTTTGTAGCAGCCTTTGCAAGAATATTCCATGTGTGGCGACCTTACACAAGGATTTCAAGTGAGAGGGGATCTGCAGTGGCCTCCTCACTTAGAGTCGTTGTGCGACAGCCTTTACAAAGGGAATCCTTTTGTGGCGGCTTTACAAATTTCCATTGCGGGGGGATCTGCAGTGGCGGCACCTCAGCACAGGAAAGCTAGAGAGGAAACCAGGACAAACAGGATCAACATGAAACATCTTGTGTTTTCACCTGGCAAAATAAGAGTAAGCTAGGAATACCTGTGACTCTCGGTATTTTTATGGTGCAGACGTTCCGGACTGAAAACCCTTTTGCAGCAGCCTTTGCAACAGGATTCCTTGTGTGGCGACCTGACACAAGGATTTCAAGTGAGGGGATCTGCAGTTGCCTCCACACTTAGGATCCTTTTGTAACACCATGTGCAACATAATTCTTCAGGCTTGCGCCACATCCGCCGACCCCTTGATTCGGCATGGATGCCAACTCAGAATCTCGTAGGGGATGTCGGGACACTCTTTCGGGCACTGGAGACTCACTATTTTGAGTCGCTCTCCTGGGCACTCGGGTCTCCCTCGGGTTGTCAGTTCGGCCTCGTCGAGCTCTCTTGGGCTGGACTCTTGGTATTTTCGGTTCACGTTTCTGGACTTCCACACGAGTGGCACCTGCCAGGGTGGGAGCCGGGTCTGTATCCGATCTTCCCATCGAAAGGTCGGAATTGCTTCTTGGACGGGTATAGGAAACATCCAGTGTTGAGTGTGACACGCACCCAGTTTATGATAACCCCGGCTTTGGCAGTGACGGCGCACTCTGCGCAGGGCCAGGCCATGGGGGCAGTGATAGCGGACCTTGAAAGAGGGCGCGGCGTGAGTTGGATGTCAAGTTGCGTTGCCATCGCGCGCGTGCGCAGGCGAGAGAACCTGCTGATATTCCGGCTTTTTGATAGGACACCGTACAACGCAGGTGAGATGGCGGGCACGCCAAAACTATTGCAGCTGCTACGATGGGAGAGCGTGGATTTGGATGCGTGGGAGGCGGAACTGATGCCGCGAGACCAGTGCGAGCGCTGCTGGCGGAGGTTGCTGTAGAGGCGTTCGCGAAGTACGAGTTCCAGAGGAAGGATAGGCTGGCGTTCTGCAAGGAGTGCACGGAAGAGATAAAACAAACGCGGACGAAAAACGGTGCACAACGTGCATAGGGTGGGCAACAAGAGCGGGGGGTGACGAGGCGACTCGAAATCGTAGAGGTCAGAACGCGGACGGCGCGGTCGACGACAGGGAGACGAAAAGGATTCGGGCAATGTGCTGCGCGAAGTGCAGCCGTGTCAAAGCCGAGCAGAAGTCGAGGAGCGGCAACGCGAAGTGGAACAAGAGCGTGGGCACTGTGCGATGTACGAACGATGAGGGCCTGTCGCTGTGCGACGAACAGGCGGAGATGTCGGAAGCTCAGAAGAAACGCAGCGCAGCGGGGCAGAGGTTGTGTCGGAAGAGCGCGGAGGATCGAGAGAAGGCGGTGCTGCGGAGGAATTCCGAAGCAGAGAATCGAAAACGGAAAGCAGAGGCGGAAGCGGAGCCGCTGACGTGCTGCGCGCCCAGTTGCGGGGTGTCTTTCTGAGAGGTCGGCCATTTGAGTAGGAATCAAGTGAAAAACCACCGGGCGACGAAAAACAAGAGGGTGGTGTGCGCACAGTGTCGCCAGAAGGGCGTCAGCGCGAAGGGAGTTGCCAGTGCGGCGAAGCGGTTGATGAGGCTGTTGACGTGTGCAGCGTGCGCGAAGCAGTTTGCTCGGCAGCAGCACATCAGCGACGGACAAGAGAGTGATCACTTCACGAGGAACAGTAAAGTTGTATGCGCGGAGTGCATTGTCGTCGGCTTCGCGGCTCGGAATTCGCAAGCGTGTGAGTGCTTCGGCGCTTGCAAGAGGAAGCACCAGAAATCTCAGTTCGCGGGTGGGCCGCATTTCGCGCGTGCCCACCAACGCCGCGCACTGAAATGCAAAGCCTGCGCGTGAGACCCGTGGCAGCGCTTGTGGCAGCGCGCGAGTGCGCGGTGCCGTCAGGGGGAACAGGAAGAGGAGGGGGTAATGCAAAAAAAGGGAATCTGTCGATGTTTCGGCTTGGAGGCCAAGGGGTGGGGGGGGGATATTATGCAGGCGGTATGCAGGCGATGAGTCGAATTGCCGGGTATGACATTGTCGGTGCGGTCGAGCTCCAGCCTTCGACCCATCCCGCCGCCGTGCCTGGGTTGTGAGTATGAAGCATGGGGAATGTCCGTAGGGATCTCGCGGGGAGGGTTCCCGCGAGCCTCTGGGCGTCAGTGTTGAAGTCTCCTGGGCGCCGTTCCAGAGCCTCTTTTTAGCCTCTTGGAGATCTTTGGGGCCTTTTGTGTGCCTTTTGGAGGCCTCTGGGCTTCCTGGGAGTCACCTGTGACCTTGCCTGACGCCGTCTTGGAGCGCTTGCGTGCCGTCTTGGACGCCGCTGGGGCCGTTTTGGAGTTCTTTTGGGCCGTATTGAGGGAATCTTGGGAAAGTTTTGGGCAGTCTTGGAGTGGTTTTGGGTGCCTCGCGGGGTTCGCCCACGCCGCGAATGTCGAAAATGCGTGTGTGCGAAAAATGTACGATGCCCATCGGAATTCGACGATTTCGGCTTCTTGGGGGCTTCCTGGGAAGCCTCGTGGAGGCCTCTTGGGGAGTCTTCGCGGCTTCTTGGGCGTCTTGGATCGATCATTCGGCGACTTGGGGGTGTCTTGGGAGGATTGACGAGCTGTCTTCGAGCTCCAGGCGGAGCCTGCGGGGCCCGGACCGCCCCTGGTGAGTTCGGGGGATCCCAGGAAAGCTAGAGAGGAACACGTGACAAATAACAAGAAACACAAGAAACACTTATATCTTCACATGGAAAGCAGGAAAATATTAAGAAAACCTGTGATTGTGCGCCTTGGGGCTGCGGAAGCTTACAAGGAAAATAGGAACAACAGAAACAGCATGAATCAATTCGTGTGTTTCATATGGAAGAATAAGGAAAGCAAAGGAAACATATGACTGTCATCATTTGTGATGGTAACATCAATGCAGCCGTCGGCAGTCATTGGTTTCCCTTTTCTTATTTTTGGCAGTGAAGACAACAGTTTTCTTGCTTTTCACGTTTTTCTTGTTTTCCTGGTAACCCTTCGCGGCTCCGCGGCTCTGCGTCTGGTGCGCCGTGGGGCTGCGGAAACCTATCAGGAACATCAGAAAAACAAGAAAGTAATGAACAAATTTGTGCTTTCACATGGAAAGATAGGAACAACAAAGGAAAGCTTGTGACTGTCGTCGTGTTTGATGGTAAAACTGATGAAAACGTAGACAGTCACAGGTTTTCATTCGTTTTTCATATTTTTGGCTGTGAAAACATAACGTTTTTTCATTGTTTTTCGTATTTTCCGGTTTGCCTGGTAAGCCGTCGCGGCTCCGCGACCCTGCCTTTGCAGATCTGGCGCAACCGAAGCCACATGGTAAATGGATTGTAATTTGATTTCGTTTGTTGTGATCGACGAAGTGAAGAAACAAGAAAAGCAGTTCTCGCAGTTCGCAACACCAGATGACTGCGATGTTGTATGTTTTCGTTGTTTGCGACAGAGGAGGGCCCAACAATGTTCCTTTCTCTAGGCCCCTCGAAACCCGATGGGAGGTGGCATCGGGGTGACATGGGGCCGAGGATACAGCAGTATGGATAATGATCGGTTGCGGTGAGTTCGCGTCGTGTCGACCAGCGGGCGGCGACCGCGCCGCTGGCGTTCAACGTCGAACGCCGCAGGCGACCCAGAATCGTTCGATGTTGAACGATCCTGCGTTTCGGAAACGACCGATCGTCCAAGTTTTTGAAAGCTTCCCGCGGTGTCAGGAACCAATTCCGGGGTGGACGACGCGAACCTGCCGTAACCTTTGCCGCCATTCACCGCTCATGCGCCAACATCTTGACAAACATAGACCCCCATAAACAACAATAACGAACTGCTGTCGGTGTTCCTGCCCATTCTTTCCGTAACTCTTGGGCGAAGTACATATTCGTATCCGCGGCCTCGCGGGCTGGGCCTCTGGGCCGCGACCCCGCGGATACGGGGCGTTTTTTCGCGACCGCGCATCCGCGGGATTCGCGCCCCAGAACCCAGGCCGCGAGGTCGCGGATACGGATGTGTTCGCCGCTCGTGAGTACCCGTTTCGCTCGTGCCGAAGGCTCTCGGCCACCCGGCGCTGTGGTCCTGGGACGAGGTCGGCGACTACAAAGGGTATGCTTACGCCGGGGTGGCTTGCGATCGGCGCCGCTGGGGGCCTTGGGGGGCTGCGACCCTGTCCTCGACGGGCCTCCTCGGGGCGCGGCGGAGAGCCCTGTCCAGGTCCTCGCCCGCCCGCTCGGGGTGCCCCAGGGGTGCCGCTTGCAAACCACACCCTTTGCAAACCACACCCTTCGGCTATGCAGAAAGCTTCTGCACGCCACCACCGCTCCAGGCCGGGGCCACCCTGGCCCTGGCATGGTGCATACGCCGTCCTGGCCGAGGCCAGGAGGGTCTGTACACCATCCTGGGGCCCAGGGTGGCCCTGGCCTGGCACGGTGATGGTGTATGGAAGACGTCTTCGTCGGACCAGATCCGTCGACGAGGCCTCGCACGCGCTGGCGCGGGCGCCGCGCCTGCTGCCCGCCGCTCTGCGTGGCGGCGCGGCGTCGGGGCTCCCGGCGCTGGCGCCGCTGCTCGCGGGCTGCGGCGCGGCCCGCGGCGCCGCCGCCTCGGAGGGCGCGGCCGACCTCGTGGCGGCGCTGGGCCTGCAGCCGGCGCACGCGCCGCAGCAGGTCGTCGTCGTCGTCGTCGTCGTCGTCGTCGGCGGAGGAGGAGGAGGAGGAGGAGAAGGAGGAGGAGAAGGAAAAGGAGGAGGAGGAGGAGGAGGAGGAGGAGGAGGAGGAGGAGGAGGAGGAGGAGGACCAGTGTAATCCCAAGAGTCACCAACGATGTTGGAATGAACCCTCCCTCAAAGCTCCCTCTTCCTAGGCCCCTAGAACGGTTCATTTCCACTGAGGGAACTACCGTGTTGGAAGACAACCGCTTGTAGACCCTGAAGCATGCCAAAACATTGTTCTTGGGATTCCAACGCCACGGATCAACTTGACATCCAGAATCGTGCCAGAACGCCTTTCCTGGGCTTTCAACCCCGCGAAGCAACACAACTGTTGTACTCTCATAGTCCTGAATCCTTCCAAAAACATCATTTCTGGCACGTTGATGGTGGGAGCCCGTGGAACTTCCGTAAATTAGTAAAACGAATGTACGCGGCGCTAACATGAGAGTCGCATTTTTAAAACGACCCGCCCTCAATCAGTGAGCTTCTTACATATGTGTAAGACGAATGTGCGCGGCGCTAAGGCGAGAACCGCATTTTGAAAACGACCCAGGCGAGAGCCACATTTTCAAAACACCCGCCCTCAGTCCGTGAAGCGCTTGTAAATTCTGTAAGACGAAAGTGCACGGCGCTAAGGCGAGAGCCACATAATGAAAACGACCCGCCCTCAATCCGTGAAGCTCTTGTACATTTTGTAAGACGAATGTGCGCGGCGCTTCGGCGAGAAACACATAATGAAAACGAGCCGCCCTCACCCCGTGAAGCTCTTGAACATTTGATATAACGAATGTTCGCGGCGTTAAGGCGAGAGTCACAAAATGAAAACGACCCACCCTCAATCGGTGAAGCTGTTATAGGTTTTTAGAACGAATGTGCGCGGCGCTAAGGCGAGAACCACATAATGAAAACGACCCGCCCTCAATCCGTGAAGGTCTTGCACATTTTGTAAGACGAAGGTGCGCGGCGCTAAGGCGGGAGCCACATAATGAAAACGACCCGCTCACAACCCGTGAAGCTCTTGTAATTTTTTGTAAGACGAATGTGCGCGGTGCTAGAGCGAGAGCCACTTTTACAAAACAACCCGCCCTCCATTTGTGAAGCTGTTGCCAACTTTTAAGCTTCAGGGTCACAAGTGATGAGGACATCTCATGCGAAAGGATGAGGAGGGGGATGATGATGATGACGATGATGATGCTGCTGCTGATGATGATGATGATGATGATGATGATGATGATGATGATGATGATGATGAGGACGATGATGATGCTGATGGTGAGGAGGAAGAGGAGGTGGAGGAGGAGGAGGAGGAGGAGAAATAACATGGATAATAAGGCGGATGAGGAGGAGGAGGAGCAGGAGGAGGAGGAGCAGGAGGAGGAGAAGGAGGAGGAGGAGGAGGAGGAGGAGGACGAGGCGGAGGAGGAGGAGGAGGAGGAGGAGGAGGAGGAGGAGGGAGGAGGACGAGGAGGAGGAGGAGGAGGAGGAGGAGGAGCAGGAGGTGCCGGCACCGCTGCACTCCTCCCGCGTCGCCACGGGCGGATTCGTGGCCGAGGCCTGGTCGGCAGAGAGAGCTCCTGGGAGCAGCGGTGTCGGCGTGTCCTTGTTCCGCCAGGAGCCGCCTGCCGTCGCGGCCGGGGCGGCACAAGGGCACGGAGCCGGGGGGGCAGTGCCCATGGCGGCGGCAGCGGCGGCGCGCTGCGAAGGGCCTGTGTGCGACGAGCATCGAAGAACAACAAGACGGCATAAACATAAACTTTTTCGGTCCGCGCGGATTTCTTGGATCTGCGCTGGGACCCCCTGGCGAGGGCGACCGCTGGTGTTGCCGACGGCTGGTTTCACCCGGCTGGTTTCGCCGCCCGGCGAAACCAGCTGCCGTCGGCGAAGCCAGCTCCATCGGCGAAACCAGCTGCGGTCGGCGAAACCAGCTGCCGTCGGCGAAACCAGCTGCCGTCGGCCTGCCTGCTACGGTCCGCCCGCCCGACCCGACCCGCACGGTAGGGTTCGCGCGTGCTCGGTCGAGCGTGTCCTACACTTCAATGTCCCGCCCGCCCGACCCGACCAGCCTGTTAGGGTCCGCCCGCCCGGTCCGACCGCCCGACCCGACCCGCTTGCTAGGGTTCGCGCGTGCTCGGTCGACCGCGCCCCACAGTTTAATGTCCCGCCCGCCCGACTCGACCTGCCCTTTCGGGTCCGCCCGCCCGACCCGACCCGACCCGCCCGTTGCGGTCCGCCCGGCCGACCCGACATGCCCCTCAGGGTCCGCCCGCCCGACCCGATCCGACCCCCCGCTAGGGTCCGCCTGCCCGACCCGACCCGCCCGTTAGTGTTCACGCGTGCTCGGTCGACCGTGCCCCACACTCCAATGCCCCGCCCGCCCGACCCGACACGCCCGTTCGGGTCCGCCCCCGACCCGACCCGACCCGCCCGCTAGGGTCTGCCCGCCCGACCCGACCCGCCCGTTAGGGTCTGCCCGCCCGACCCGACCCGACCCGCCCGCTAGGGTCTGCCGCCCGACCCGACCCGCCCGTTAGGGTTCGAGCGTGTTCGGTCGAGTGCGCCCCACACTTTAATGTCCCGCCCGCCCGACCCCGATCCGCCCGTTAGGGTCCGCCCGCCCGACCCGATCCGACCCGCCCGCTACGGTCCGCCTGCCCGACCCGACCGCCCATTATTAGGGATCGCGCGTGCTCGATCGACCGTGCCCCACACTCCAATGCTCCGCCCGCCCGACCCGACCCGCCCGTTAGGGTCTGCCCGCCCGGCCCGCCCGCTAGGGTCTGCCCGCCCGACCCGACCCGCCCGTTAGGTTCGAGCGTGTCGGTCGAGGGGCCCCCACACTTAATGTCCCGCCCGCCCGACCCGATCCGCCCGTTAGGGTCCGCCCGCCCGACCCGATCCGACCTGCCCGCCAGGGTCCGCCCGCCCGGCCCGACCCGCCCGTTAGGATTCGCGCGTGCTCGGTCGACCGTGCCCCACACTCCAATGTCCCGCCCGCCCGACCCGACCCGCCCGTTCGGGTCCGCCCGCCCGACCCGACCCGGATTGTGAGGGGGGAGGGTGGCGCGGATTCTGATGAGGATGGCGATGATGCTGGTGTTGTTGATGGTAAGTGTGATGGTGATGATGATGGTGATGATGATGCAGACCAAGAGGACGAATACGGGGCAGCAAACAAGGACTCGCATGTTTGAGGTGCAAAGGCCAGGGTCCGACGCCCGCCACCCCACGACGACGACGACGACGACGACGACGACGACGACGACGACGACGACGACGATGACGACGACGACGAGGGCGACGGCGACGACGACGGCGGCGACGACGGCGACGCCGACGGCGACGACGGCGTCGGCGAAACCAGCGCGGGCGAAACCAGCGCTGGCGAGACCAGCCGCCGGCGAAACCAGCGGGGCGAAACCAGCGGGGCGAAACCGGCGCCGGCGAAACCTGCGCTGGCGAAACCAGCGCCGGCGGAACCAGCTCATTCCCTGGCGGCGATCTGCGCTGGGACCCCCTGGCGGCGCCTCCAGCGCCGCCTTTGGCGCCGCTCCGTGCGCCAGGGAGGTGGTCCAGCTCAGATGCAAGAAATCCGCGCGAACCGTCAAAAGTTTATGTTTATGCTGTTTTTTCTGTTCCTCTAGAGCAGTCCATTGTCAGCGGCTCCCTGCTGCGGTGCGTGTGGCCCGATGGCGTGCGCTACCGCAGGGGCCGCTGCCGGAACGACCGCCTCGACCGGACCGCGTATTTCAACGTGGAGATCTTCGTGAAGGAGCGGGTGCGCGATTGGGTGCGCGCGAAGCACGGGTGGCTGCCGCTGTTCGGCGTGGGGGAGGCAGTCAGCACCGTCTAATCGATCCCTTTTGAAGGGGCATCCTTCAATTCCCCGAGTGGAGTACGTTTTGGGTATCTTCATGGGCCTTGATCTTGATCCACGTCCTTGTGGGGTATGTTTCGACCGTGTACCCACCCTTGGTGGGCAAGTCGGCCAGTGGCGCCAAGGCCACGCCAGTGGAGATAGAGGCATACTCTGAGATCCGACATCCCCCAACAGGCAACATCGTAAACAAAACCTTTGCTGGAGCCCTGGGCCCCATCTGTCTGCGGTATTTTTCGAGCCGGACCGATCCATTGAGGGCCCCGGGGCCCGATGCCCAAGCCAAATTCGCCCGTGGTGGAAGGAAAAATGGCGACGCCGGGATCCCGGGGCTCCCATGGTTTTCGTGTCGTGACTCAGCTCCGCGGCGGCCCTTCGGGGCGATCCCCGCACCCCCTGAATGCCCTCGACGAGGCGCAGCTCTTGGGGGTCGCCCCAGGGTTCGAAAACTTAACTGACGCCCGAGAATTTCCCGCCATGATCACAGGGCGGGGGTGGATCGTCGGCGGCGAGCGAGGGGGGCAAATGAGAAGGAGAAGGCCTTGCGGCGGTACTCCTCAGAAGCCCTCTGGCCTTTGGAGCCGTGTTCCGTGCCTTCGGGGAAGGCGTAGAAAGCTTCTCAGAAGGCCCGGGAATTTACCGAGTCTTGTGAGATGGCCCGCCCCTTCTCACTTCCACCTTGGCTTCAAATCGGGCATGTCGGCATGTCCATCCACAGGAGGATTATTTAATGATAGTAACAACTATTGTCTGGCGACGACTTTTCGTGCTCCTTCGAGTTTTT